AGAGAGAGAGAGGGAGTGAGTGAGATACAGATACCGGGGAAACCTGGCAGCTCTCCCTAAACTAAACAATTGAAAAGGGAACATTAAAATTCTGGATACATCTCAATCTGTGCCCCGAAGGCTCGCTTCAATCTAAAGCACTTGACTTGTGTCCAAAAAAAGAGGAAGTGGAAAAAAAGCAGCTTTAGTCAGACAGTCGTTGCCTGAACTTCACAGCCAACACACACACCAACGCTGCTTAGATAATTTGACAGTATTGTTACATTTATTATTAGCAGCTTTGCCAATATGATGCAGAGAAATAATGAATACAATTTTAATTGAACTGGAGGTACAGGTGGGTGGTGTTGGGTTGGATTTGTTTGGGTTTCAACATGGAGCTGTGTTAGATACGGAGACACTCAGTACCAGACACTGACTCATTTCCCTGTGTCAATAAAATAAATATGAAACTGAGGTGCGTAGCATAAGCTAGGCTGAATATTGTATTCTCCTTATAAATTCCTCTTGGAACAAACTTTTACTCCAGTACATATATATAAATAAATGTATGAACATGCATAATGAATTACTATATATAAAGCATCCAAAATGCTTCACAACTTTAAGTATAAGAAGACGTAAATGGTGCATTATATCAACACTCAATTCAAAGAATGAACAGATGCAGCTGAAAGTTGATGTGACTTCACAAATTACACAATTTAAGGTCATGAAAAGCATACAAAATTGAGAAATAGGTAATAAGATTTGAAATTGATTAACAACAAACTAGGAGAAGAGATTATGATGACATACAGTATATAGGCTACTGTATGGTGCTGTGAAGATAAAATAAGTTCATTTTACAAAGACAGCTTCATTAAGTTCCTCAGTTAATCTTCTGCTCATAAATAGCCTTCACTGAAATATAAAGCGAGTATAGAGTGTGTATCATGCTGTAGACAGCCTTTAGGGAAATCAATGTTAGAGCCATAGTGTAGTAAGTGTGGGTCTAAATACCCAAGAGACAAATGTATCCACGAACTCGGAAAAACTTATTGTCACAACCACTCAGTGCATTTCCACAGCATAGTCACAATCTGCAAAATAATTTATTGTCATTTCAGTTCATAGTGACAATGGAAGACAGTAACGTCCTCTAAAAACACATGATACTGTCACAATTAATTAGCAGTGGTAGTTGGAGAAAGGGAATGCATTGCTCAGGGGAGGCAGGTACACTTAAGTGGGTGACTGTGTGGATGTTTGGAGGTTTTTTTACTGGAGTACATCCTCTGGTGGTCATATTGGAGGCTACAATTGTAAACGAGCATGAGCGGGAACAGCTGTTTGTGATTTCATAACTACCTAGCGGTCTCAGTATTCATTTCTGTGCTTCTTTTTACTGAGAAAGGCTCAATATCTCACTAAAGGAACCAATCCGCCATTGTGTTTACCATATTTGTTAGCTTACTAAATGGCAGAAAGTAACACTTTACCCAGTAGTTTTAAACATAAATATCCTGATATTATTGACACAGGGGCTAATTTTATGTGGCTTGTACAGCAGCTGTATTTTAACAATAACATTATCAAACCACAAAGCTCCAATTTGTGGGTGAGTCTTGAAAAGGGACTAGGGAACTAGGGAGTAAAATAAGGCAATAACAGAGTAAGCAAAGTTTGCAAATATAATTTCATTGTGGCCTTAAGCTACAATACTGTGTGAATATACAACGACGGCTTTAATGATTTCTCGGTATTTATTGATTTATTTGATTTATTAGTTGTTTCACATTCAACTTTATTTAGGAGCAATACTGCGTTGAACTTCCATTATACTGCCTTTGATAAGAGGATATGGGTGCAGACAATTGGCAAAACAGAGAACAAGAAATCAAAAGAATTAACAAACCAATTATTGAAGTTTGGTAACATGAGTTTAAACATATTTCTTTAAAGATATAATGTCAAAAAAGTGTATGAAACAGACAATAGAGGTATGAACGAAGAGACAATGCATTGGTATAAATGAATAAGTTCATCCATCACGGCGGCATAATACAGAGATCACAGACGTTTCACCAGTCTATGAGGTCAATCATTTATTGTACTGATGAGAAAGAAAGAAAAGAGAGAGAGAGAAGAAGACACAAGAACTCAATTAAAACTTCACGTTCACGGCTCTCCGCTTCCAAGAGAAGGTCAAGTCATTTTCACCCGCTTTGAATGCTAATGGGCAAACAAGCACACGATGGAAAACCCGCTTAGCAGAGACACAATTCTCTGTTGAGTCGATATAAAACAACAGAACAGTGAAAACACTTCACCTTGACTAATGTTTAAGCACCAACGACAGGAGGTGGGTGGGTGAGAGAGGGTGGGTTATTTATTTCTTTAATGCTCAGCCTTGAATATGCTGACTTCTACTAAGAAGATTTTTTATCTGATGCCTTATCATGGGTGGAGGTGAAGCCACCTGGCTGTGCAACATAAAAGTTTAACTAAGAGAACTTTCACGAAATGGGAATGTTTGCCTGCATACATGTCATACATTGTCAAGGCAGAGCGCTTGAAAACTGAAATGCCCTCCCCTCCACTGTATACACAGTGGATTGGACAATAATTAACAGTTCTTAACTAAAAATGTGAAAAAAATGAGACTTGAAGGCTCTGTGACTGACATTTAGCATGCTCCTGTTACTCTATTGTAAATCTTCTCCCCTGACACCTATCACACAGACAGAGCCTTAATTTGAGAGCTTTCCGTGGGTCAAGACAGACACTGTGGGGACTGAATCCTTTCTAAATATAGCTTTGCACAGCTGGAACAGAACATGCAGGCTCAGCTTTTCTAAGATTGGGCTATTACTACTTTAAGTCTGGACATTGTGCTGAAGAATTGGTTTTAAGGCCAGGTCTTGTAGTTGCATAATTATGCAATTGCATGTCCCATTTCCTGCCCAAACTGTATTTAAAACACAACGAGTTAGAATAACCTTTTGATATAAATTTGACATTTGCACAACAGCCACATATTTTTTCAGATTGAAAAGTCGCAGACCTGTGAATGATGTATTAATCCAATCAGGTGTAGGAAGAGTTTCTTGGTTTCATCCATGGTCTTGCTAAACAATAATGAGTGAGGTCATCTCACAATGGAATCCAATAATGTTTGTTAAATAGAGAGCAATTCTGTGCGCTTCCATGCACCAAGATATTACGAACTATATAGTGTATAGGAGATGTTTATGTACTCTCAATACATTCCATGGTCTCTGTCTTTCCAGAGCTTGTTAGTATCACATAGTGGTTTACTGACATGCCATGCAAATTCCGGTGCAATAGTTTAAATACCTAGAAATTAAAATGATTCTGATGCTGTACTATGTCATGTCCACAAATATACTGGCTGCCTGTTTTGCACTGCTTAATAGCTGGTGTCCATCTGGACACACTGCCCTGGAAAAGCCTGTACACAGCTGCCCCATGGACTGGAGATGAACATTGCCATGTGTGTGTTTTGTGTTCATGCATGAAATAATTTGATTGTGTTTGCGTCTGGATCAGTGTGTGTGCTTGCTGCCTGTGCACATGTGCTTGTTAGTCTAGTGGTTCTGTAATGAAGCATTAAATATTGTGCCTTTCTGCAACACGCCTTTCCTTCTGTGCTAGTTACTGACTAACACAGTGAGGCCAGGATTTCTTATGCAGAAAATAGCCTGATAACTTTTTTCCCTGGGTGTAATGTGTCCTCAGGCATTTGCACATCTTGCTGTGTTGCGTCGCAGAATATTTAGATAATGCTAGCTTGTTTGTTTGAGTCAGCTTTTTCAATCTCACAAAAGGGATTCATGGGGCCTGGTAACATAATCTGCGCATATGGTTATCGCTCAGACAGACAGAGAAAGACAAAGAGAGAGAGAGACAGATAGAGTGAGAGAGGGAGGAGAACAGATCAGATGGCATATTTCATAAGAAGATGAAGGATGAGTGGAGAAGGTGACATTTTAAAGCAATGTGTGTGTGCATCAACTCCAAAAAACACTTTGCCGAAAGAGGGCATGTGAGCTTTGCTGGTTTTCAATTACTTCTATGTGTGTTTATGTGAGCGTGTGTGTGTGTCTGTGAATGTCCTTAAATTTAACTCGTAATCTTGACTATTTAACGAGTCCATTACACGCTTACACTTCATCCTATCTGATGTCACTCCTCATTAATTCAGTCTAAGTCATTAGCCTGCATCGTTAAATAATTACCTACTGAGCAAAAAGACACAGAACTTGATTAAACATCCCATTCAGAATTTAACATTGTTATTTTAACTGCAGTTAAGTAACAGGAGAGTGCCATTGGTGCCAGGACTAAAGAGCAAGTCATTCCCTGACTTTACCCTTAGAATGTTTTGTTCAGAATACATTGGGTACTAGTCCTAATAGTACAGTTTTCCATTAAATGGTAATATTAATTATATATTAATAATTTATGTCTTCCTGAAGCATGATAATTAACATTTGGCTTATTCTTATTGGAAATTTTGGTAGGACACATGGAGAGAAGCATGGAAGTGTTGTGGTATGAGCGCTCTTTCACAAATTAAAAACAAATTAAAATGTTTATTGGAGCGCTCTAGGCTAGCATGATTACAAGTACAGAAAGACACAAAGATCTTTTTTTAAACATGTGACAACAAAAAATAAGGGAATGAAGAAACTTAAAAAAAAAAGCTGACTGAATTCAGTGCATGTATAGGGCACTGCAATTAAAGATGTTGCAGAGGTAGAGAAGACAAAACACCTTGTCAGCTCACACTGTTCAGATCTCACATGGTCTTGGTTAACTTACAGAAACTGGGTTATGTAAGAACTTTTTAGAAAATTTAGGACTGGTAACCATTTACATTCTTATAGTAAAAGACTCTTTCATTAGGGGCAACCCCTTGACTTAGGGGTTGAGATGCTGGTCATGAACTGCAATGTCCCAGATTTGGCCTTTGTTGCATCTCTCTCCCTCTCTCATTTCCTGTCTTCTCTCTACTGACACTGTCTAATACAGACATAAATAAAGGCATATTATCTTTAAAGCCAATGCACTGGGGACAGATTAGCTTTTCTTTTTACTTTACTGAAATTACATACAAGTTATGTGCCTTGCTTAGGGACTAACATGTCATATCCTACCTAACTTTTCCAGTTATTATCCAGTCTAGCATCCTGTCAAACATTTTTATCATTAAATCTGTGGGCTACAAACTATCTGCTTTGATTGACTGATTAATATTGTCAATTCGACCAAAAACAAAAATACTATTTGAATATTGCAATGCTCTGATTTGTATATGCCTAGTGTCTTTTCACCAAAGACATGGCTAACTTGTTATCTATGCAGTTTTCAATCAATTTGAATTTTAAAGTGTCCACTATTGCAACCGAAATTATGTTAGCATCAATGTTGTCACTGTAATTACTGGTGTAGTGGTGTAATGGTAATGCAAAAAATACACAAAGCATCAAAGTGTATATGATCACAGTAA